GGAAAGGGAGCCCCCTTTATTCATGATGCTGATCTGACGCCCCTGTGCTTGTCTGGTGGATTAGCGCTGTGACAAGCCTCAACCTGGTGGACGATGAGAGGCGTGAAGAGGATGCGGTCGAATTTGAGACGGTTGTAACACACTCCTCCAGAGAGACCGCAGTAACAGGTCGCGAGCAGGCAGAACAGGGGGCAGCGGTCTGCCCTCCACTGGGACAAGAGGGAAAGAGACAGGGAATGAGGGTCTGCGACACAGGTAAGGAGTAGAGGTTCTTCAGCTTGGAAAACTGCTCTGGCAGATGGTGCAGCATGAGAAAAAGAGTGTGGTCTCAGCACGGATTCATGGAAACAGTAACAGAGGATGGGAGGACGGGGCCCAAGGAAGGGCCGCACTGAGACTGAAAGGCACGGCCTGAGAGGAGAGGTGGAAAGAGCTGGAAGAGGGGTGATGGGCAAAAATTAAAAGCTCAGTTGGGTCAGTAGGTCTGCAGAGCAGGCTGGACAAATAATTGTGCAGATTAGATGCAACTGTCCCCCTTGGCATCGAACACAGGTTTAAATGATCTCCTAAGAATGCGTTAATCAAGCCTAGATAGAACTCTTTTGCATTTATTTTCCACTTTACCAAATGCACACAGAGAAGTCTTGCTTCCTAAATGTCAATATATCACTTAAAAAACTGCAAGAGCCTCATCAGGTAAAAGGCTACTAGTAACAGCCAGTTTTGTGTGTTCATATGTTTTCTGAGACAATATGAGGGAGTGAAAGAGCTTACTTAACCCAGAAATTGGTCCTCAGACAAAATATTAATGATGGAATAATGGTAATAAACATTAATTCAGCATGTATGGTGTATCTGACTCTCTCAGAGGTAATTTCACTTCATAACAATCCCAGAAGGTATTATTCACCCAACAGTTGAAAATCTAAGATTCAGAGAAGTTTAGGAATTACCCAAAGTTGCAAAAGAAATAAGTCGTGGACAGAATGTAAACCTATGTCAGGAGGTGCCAAGTTCAAGAAGCAATATATTTTGATAGTTTTAGAGAGAGAGAATACAGAAGGTCAGAAGGCGAGGGTGAGTGTAATCAAACACTGGGTGTGACCTAAATCAGATTTAGAACCCCAGACGTCCCTAGACACTAGGTCTGTGTTTAAAGAATGTAAAATAGTGCTGTTCAGCCTGATTTAAAACAAAATCGGGACATTGGTTATGAGACTGTAAGAGGGTAAGAGAGCAACGGTGAAAGACAACAGGAAGCCACATATTCCAGAACGAGAAAGGGAATTGGAATGTAGGAACAGAACAGGCCAAGAGGGGAGAGAGCTGCGTGCATGGGGCAAGGTGAGCAAAGGACGGAGGGTGAGGCTGAGACAAGGGTGCCCCGCTGTGACAAGCCTTAACCTGGTGGATGATGGGAGCGGTGAAGAGGATGCGGTCAAATTTGAGAGGGTTGTAACACACTCCTCCAGAGAGACTGCAGTAACAGATGGGGAGTAGGGAGAAGAGGGGGCAGCGGTCTGCCCTCCACTGGGACAAGAGGGAAGCAGTTGCTGTGGGCAAAGCTATGGATCAACACCATGAAGAAACTAACCGAATCTGACTGCATGGGAGGAATGTCAAACTGACTCCAGGTTTAGGGCCCAGACTCTACGAGTATGATTTACGAACCCTGGAAGCCCAGAGCAGTCGGGCTGTGCCTCAGCCTGGTCACTACTGTTACTTCATTGGTGGCTTCCCATTTTGTCTCTTAGTCTCATCATGCTGGTCAGATTGCCTCAAGAACATTCCTCCTGCCATGTTCTTATTATCTGAGAATGGAATTTCCACCCACAGAGATTCCTTGGTCTTTTCTGGGGCAATTTCACCCTCCTGCTGCTTATATCGTCCCTTCCATCTAATCCTTCCCAACGGGCCCTTCTCTCCAGCTCGGCACCCTTGCCCCGGTCCATATTCCATAGCCTGCCAAGGATGAAGTCTGATTTTTAGAGGCTCCTTCGGAGCTATCAACAATAATAAGCATTTAATGTTTCCAAGCATTCTAATTTTACCACTTCTTTATTTCCCCCTTCTCGCCAAGTATTCATTTTGGTCTGACTTTTCTATTATTTCCTACATCTCTTAATTATTTGAATTGGTGGAACCAGGTACATTTTCATACCTAGTGAACTAAAAAAATGTCCCTAGAACCAATTTAAATACTATCAAATTAAGCTATTGTCACATTATACTACTGTCATATTTTAAAATGAATTTCATACACTTATTTTCTTTGATTTTTGAACTGGGAAAAATCTTCCTTCATCCTTTGTTAATGCCAGTATTATTATTTCAAGGTGAAAACCCAGTCTGTATGCAGAAATTCCACCTTCTAGTAAAGCTCCTCTGGTCCACCCCCCTACAGTGAAACAGCCACCTCTTCTCACACACTCACATGCCCCCGACTCTCCAGATCTTGAAGGCCCACTCTGAGGATGATGAATGGCTGTCAAGACCACACCTTAACTTTGCCTCCAGTCTGTTGCCTGGTCACAACAAAGTCTATCCCAAAACCTGCTTACTATCAGTGCCACTAATCTGACCACCAGCTCCTCCCACTGTCTCAAAAATAATCTGCCAACAGTAAAAATATTCTGTTTACTCAGTCTTTGCATTTTATGGCAAGTAACCTTTAACCTTTCATGATGAGCAAAAACTCAGATCACTTGCTTAAATTCTAGAAGAGAACCAGGCCATTTTTACCTGTAGTTTGTAACTACCTAGCTATGTGGCAGTAGGCACATCATGTCCCCTCTCCAGGCTCCACTGTGACCAGGGAGGGTGTTTGACACAAACAGTGGATGATTTTCTCATGCTGACCATAAGCTGATCTCAGTAAGAAAACATTCCTTCCTATCTAGGACTGGCAGGATGAGTCCCATCCAAGGGTCTGTCCTTCCTTTACCTTCTGCATTTTGCTTTTCTCCCTGAGACTGCTTCTGTGATGGCTGAAGTGTCTCTTGCTGGACGTGGGGATTCTTGCAGACCGTGCCATAGTATCCCACAGTCAGCCACTCTCAGCCACTCTTTCCAGAAGTCTGAACTTCCTCCCTGGTGTTTGGGAGGCCCTTGGTCTGTGAGCAGATTTAGAATCTCCATCTCAGGGCAATAAGCTAACCCGGCTCCCGCTCTACTTCTAAATATCCATGTGCATCATTCAGAGATAATTGCCTCCCTGAAACACTCAGATAAACTGCCAGGAAAGTATTTATTTGCCCATTGGTGCTCCTGGGGAACTTTGTGGGCCAGACTCGGCCCCGCCCTGTAGCAGGCTCTGCCCTCGGGCCCATGACTCATTTACAAGCAGCAGGAATCAGCAGTCACTCCCTGGGAGCTCCCTCACCAGCCTGGAAAAAGTTTATAGCACATACCAACCCGGCAACTTTCCTCCACACGTTCCCTGTCACGGGCCACCCAGCAAGAATAAACGGCCTCATCCACTCACCTGCACTCCCTGAGTCTTCTTTGGGCCCACAGCCTTGTTTTTGCAATATTCACCGGGAATTCTGCACACTGAATGGTTATCTTGCCGCCTCATCCTCTAAGATGAGGCTACAGAAAGTCCCACAGTGTAATTATCATTTAAAACGGATGGGTTGGAAAAAGTGGGTCAAAAATGGTTAAGTATAGAGAAAGTTCTCAGTGCACTTGAATCATGACTGAGTTTGGCATGTTTCTCTTCAGCTCATTCGCTTGTAACCTTTGGCCCCCTCCACACCTGATTTCAGAGTTAAACGATTACATTAAACAACAGGCTTGGAACTACTGTAATCACGCAGCTCCTAAGCTGAGTCATATTTATAGCAAATGAGGCTTCAGGGTCACTAAACTGTTAGTTATAGAACCACCACCACCAGATACTTATGTAGAGGTGTAAGAAATCCTGTATGAACTTGTACAAGTCTCAGTAATGGGTCTTGGGGGGGTGGGGTAGGAGGCGGATTTGTGTGTATGAGGAATAGTTGTGTCTGTAAAGGGCCACTCTACCCAAGTACTGAGTCTCTAATTAGACCTCATTAATGAGAGGTTATGGTAAGAGCGACATCACTGAACTCTTAGAAGCAACAGACTGTTCTGGGTAGAGCAACTTGGGTCCAAAAGGAAAGTGGGTTTATTTGGGGGAATAAATATGTGAGTGAGGGAAGGGGAACCTGTGAATGTATTTCCTACAGATTTTCAAAGACTGTTAAATAACTTCTATCCCAAAGGCAAATTTTTTAAAAAACAAGTCATCATAGGAACAAAATCCATGTATCTTACATCGTGGATGTAGAAGTTGTTTAAGAGACAGAAAACAAAATTATAGAAAGTAAACACATCTCAAACTGCGACCCTTCCTGATACTAACTTGTAGGCTGATCTTATTAAAATCATTAAAAATGACCTCAATAGAGCAAGTAGTGCACAATAAAAATCTTAAGATCACAGTTAACTCTCAGTGAAAGGTTAATAGTGACAATAAACTTTAAAGAACAGCTTTCTAAGCTGTGTGAGTAGGTAAAAGAGATGGATAGCAATTCAATATGGCCAACTGCACAAAGGAAATAATTTAGCTTATGAATCTATATATGAGTTTAAGCCCCATACATGTTACAATCAGAAAAAGTGCTGTAAATAGGACTATCGTTGATGTCTCCTGAAGACATGATGCCATGCTGGTTACGCTTTAAAAACCAACAAAATACTGCATATTCATGTCTCAAATACAGTTCTGTCCAAAAAGTGTTGCTTAATGGTGCCTTTCATGCCCTCTCACAAGAGACTGCCATGTTACTAAGACAATGATGTCAGTCAGGATTAAAGAAGAAATTGCATTAAATTCTGGAAGTCTGAAGAAGAAAGGCACCCAACTTTTCAAAACCCAAAGTGTAGAAAATGCAGCAGTTCAACCGAGGAAAGATAATTTATATCTGTTTTGTTTGTTTGTATTTTGTTTCTGAAACCAAGGACCTAAAAACAGGTAGAAGCCAACTGTCTTTTAATTTCCCAGGTTAGGTGAGAATAACCAAATTAAACAAATGCATATTAAATATCTAAAGGCAGTTTTAGTCTTACAGAAGTCAACTTCAAGATGCTCAGAAAGCCTTAGCAACATCAAGTAAAGAAGTCATTCACCTTAGAAAATAATTTGCATGTGTATCATTCAAAGTTGTTATTTTACCTCTTTGGGAAAACAAGGGAGAATTTGCCTAGAAAATGTAAGGTTGGAAAAGGCTTTGTTTGAGCCATACGGCCAGTATGCAAATACTGATTTGAACAAATAATTTGGATTATAATAATTGTTATTGCCCAGTTGTTAGATTACATACAACATACACATATTAATTTATCATATATTAAAAGCTGGCTTTGTGGAAAAAAACCTCAGTTGAACTTCTCTAAAACCAGCCCTATTTTAGATTTTTTTAGTAGTGTCAACCAGTTAAGGACAAATTAATATTCACTCATCTGAATTACCACAGTGATAACTTTTCTAAAAATTAAGCAAGCTAACTTATATTTTAGGATGGATTGAAAAGAAAATGTATTATCCAAAGTAATACTATAAAGTCATGGTTGACTGGGTCTAGGACAAAGTTTATAGTATGATTCTCACCTTTGTACAGAGCTGCAGTGCAATTCTGCTTCTGAGCCCTCCCAAAGATCAACAGATAAAACGTCCACAGCAGGACTGTGATGACCCTGCTTAACCGATGCCTGGGCCGAGGCCGTATGAGGGCTCCGCATGAGAAGACAGTGTAGAGCGGCGCTTTTGAACTGAGAAGGGCAATCTGATGAGAGAGAGAGAATCGCATCTTGCAGTTGGACAGGATTTGAGAGGTTACTTGGTCTGATTGTACATTTTACGTTTACAGAAACTGAGATAGGGGCAGGCTGAAATCATGGCAGTGTGGTAACTGGAATTTAGGTTTCTTGACTTGGATTCTAGACCTCTTTCTAATACATCACCCTACTTTTCCCAAAAAGGATGAAACAGCTGGGAAGATACATTCATAATCATTCATGTCAAAATATAAAATCATGAATGGTCTGAGTAGGATTTCCCAGTCCATCCAAACTAGCCGACGCCTTAACTTAGGATCCAGTAAAAAGAAGGCTCGAATGGGGTTTTCATCATCCATCAATTGCTTCTCATTCCTATACAGCCTCCAAGGCTGGAACAAGCAGAAAAGCCACCCAAACCCTCAAGAGTCCTAGAGCGAGAGTCAGCAGCCGTCGTAACTGAGGCACCATCTTGGTCTTTTTATGACACATAAATCAAATAGCCTGGCATTCCAGGTTCTGAGCCTCATTCAGTGCTCAGGAGTCTCTGAGAGGAAAAACACTGGGAGAAGTGCCAAGTTTATTAGAGTGAGAGTGTCACCCTCACATTGCCACCAATAGACACTGACCCCAGAGGTGCATGTACTGACCTAACACCAACAGTTATGGAAAACCTCTAGGGCTGGAAGGTGCCCTAGAGGTCACCAGGCTGACCTCCCGTCTGATGGGTTAGTCCCCCTTAGACATCTCCCTCCGGGGGACTGGAGTAGGATCCTGTTTTACATACGGCTATGACAGAGACTCTGGTCAGCCTTGACTCCGCACTCCGGAAGCAGAGAACGCTTACGTTCTGTTTGGTAGTAGAAGTGCACTCCCTTGGTCTGTGCTCCGTTGGTCCCTTTTCTTCTGAGAGTGAGTTCCCAGAGTCCAGTGCAAAGTCCCTCAAAACCCCTCCACCAAGCACAAAGCACAAACAGCAGGCCCGGGACTAGCGACTGGCAGCTGGATTTTGCTCCTGGGCTTTCAGAGGGTTTACATCGTGCTCCGCAGAAGGCCTCTGTTGCAGGGTTCCGGGGCCAGCTCCCTCTAGGAACGTCTTGTCCTTAGTCTCAGGGCATCCTTCCCAGGGCACAGCTAGGTCTCCTGCTCCACCAGCTGTAGTTTGGCCGTCTTGACTCGGTGGGCTTCCTTCAGGTTCTGTGCGCGGACCTCTGAGTTGGAAATGAACTTCACTTGTTGCACAGGGAACCAGCCTCGCTCCCCATCTGAGAGCCTCATGCCCTCCAGCCAGCCTACGGACACAGGGTGGTGGGAAGAAGAATTACCTGGCAAAGACTCACAATGATTTAACCTGGACCTGCTTCCTAGAAGCTTTTCTGAATCTTAAGGCTGAAGGGGGCCTGGAGAGCCCTCAGCTTGGGGAATCCAGCCTCCCAATGGGCCGCCCCTCATTGCTCTAGGTCTGGCCAGGTCTACAGCTGCCTACCTGTGAGCCTTCTCCACTCATATGGGTTGGATGGTGTCCCCCAAAATATATGGTGAAGTCATATAAATCAAGTATAAAAATCAAATGAATGATCATATCTGACTTGATTGTTTATAGGTCATAATGCGTGATCAAAACCGAAAGTTTCTGTGATACGACTGCCCTTGCACTGTTCACCATGTAAGAACTTGTTCACCATGTAAGAACTTGTTCATTATGCTTTAGAAGATTGGAGACTGTTGAGAATTAGGCTTGGGGTTGATTAATGATTGTGCATTGAGTCCCCTATACAGAATTTTATTGTTGTTAACAACCATTTGATCAATAAATATGAGAGATGCCCTCTCAAAAAAAAAAAAAAAATCTATGGTGAAGTCCTAACCCCAGTAGCTCACGCTGTCACTTTATTTGGGAACAGGGCTATTGCTGATGCAATCAGCAAAGTGAAGAATAGGTCAAACTTGAGTAAAATGGGCCATTAATCCAATATAGGATTCGTAATTACATCTAATATAGGCATCCTAATAAAAAGAGGGAAATTTGGACACATGCATGCACACACACACACAGAAGACAGAAGTAACTGCTACAAGGCTATAAGCCAGGAACATCTGGGGCTACACCTTGATTTTGGACTTCTGGCCTGCAGAACCATGAGAGCATCAATTTCTGTTGTTTTAAGCCACCCAATTTGTGGTACTTTGTGACAGCAGCCCTAAGAAACGAGTGTATCCCCCTATAGTGCCCCATCTCCAAGGACCAGCCTGCTCCGTGGAGTGGCCTCTTACCATCGCTGCTTTGCTGAGTCACCATCACCACATCCGCCTTCTCCAGTGCCAGCTCATCATTCTCCCGGGGTTTGTAGGCTCGAAGGCACTGTACTTGTGGGGAGTCTTTGGAAGAAAAGAGCGTGACAAGGGATTAGGAAATGTGAGTGGCTGGTACATGGAGAAGGAACTGCAGGCAGAACTTGGGAGGACTTGGGATGGAGAAAGTTGGGATGTTTGGAAGTTACAAACAAAAGGGCCAGTGGGGAAGTCTTCACCTTCTTCCAGGAAATGCAATGGTTGATAAGGAAACAAATACCAGCACGGAAATGAATGAAAAATTCTATTCCACCACGGAAGATGAATTGAGAAATACGTCGTGACCATCCCTAGAGACTCATTACTACAAATACTTCAAAGATTTCTGCGGAAGATCCATTTTCCCTCTGAAACCTTCCCCGGCTCTTTAGCCCTCCATGGATTCTGAACTCCTTTAAAACTCTTGTCTAAGCCAAACCATTTAACCCTTATCTAATTGTTTCAGGCAGGTGTTCTGCCTCTCCCACTAGATGGTAAGATCTGAGTTTGTGACTCATTTTTAATTTTCTTCCCAGTAACAGATGTGAGACAGAAAAAACTTAACCAGTGAGGTTCCAGGTAAGTAAGATCTAAGCAAAGCACCCAACCCCTGCTAGTTCTAATTTTCCCAACTGTAAAGGACTGGGTTGGTCAAGATGATTCTTGAAGAACTCCTGGGTTTTCTGTATTTCTGTAACCAGCAGAAATTTCCATAGTTTTGAAGTTAAGATAGCAAGCTTCAGAGTACTCCCGACCTGTAAGCAGTCCACCTTACATGGGTTTATTTATTATCTATTTTACCTCAGAAAACAAACAGAACACATTATCATCATCTACACCGTTTTCTCTAAAGCTCATTCCCATCTGCCATTCACAAGACCACAGAGGAAGGGAAGGATTGTCATGCCTTCCTTACCCACTGGGGGACCAAAGCCCAGAAGACGGATCCCACAGTGAGCAAGTTAACAGGACTCTGCGTACAGCCTGGCTGTCCTACTCCCTTTTCCACGGTCCCTTGTATGTTTTTTCTTTTGGGTCACTAAATGCCCAGTGTTCCTTTGAGTTCATTTCCTCTCTGGATATGAATTAGGGAATCCTAGGACACCTTGGGGCTTACATGAGACCAGAAATCCAGTCTTTGCACAAATGCAAACACATTCATAATGCGTGTGTGTCTGTGGCTGCCCATCGGGACCTGCCTGGGCTAAAGGCACTGGTCTTGGGGCATCCATATACAGGAGAGGGTGGGGTTAAGACAATCTTCTGGGTAGTCATCCTCCTGCAACACCCACTTCAACCTTATTTTCTACCCCTAGTTCTCCAAGAACTTCAAGAAGATAAAATCTAGGCAAAATAATAGCAGGATAGAAGTAAAGGGACAAGTATGTAAAAAGCGCCGACTATTGCCCAAGGTAGGGCAGGCATGTGGGGGAAGAGGCACCGGCGTGGTGATGAGCAGCTCCAAGCTGATGCTCTCAGATACGTAAGTTCTGGTACCCAGTGCCCAGTCTTGCACCCTGAAATTCTGGCAAAGCAATACACGGAAGCCTCCCAGAGTCACCACCCAGCCTCCTCAACTCCTGCATCCAAAGGAGACTCCTGGCCCTGCAATCTTCCTCTCCCTCTCAGACTCTCACTCACCGTAACACTCCAGAAGGGCCAGCTCCTCTCGTGGCATGGCCAAGGCCGAGATCCACCGGAGCTTTTCACTCCTGAGAAAAACAAAGCAGGGCCACTGTTCCCACTGCAGCTCTGGGAGGTGCAGGACAAGGGCTGAGGGGACGGGGGAACGACTGTAAGAAAAACTCATCTGGTTAAAAAAGCTGCCCAGTTCAGAGACATCTAGGACAAACATGTCTCTCTGTTGGAAAGAGGATGGGATCTTGAAGTATGTGTTAATGTGTCTTGTCAGTCTTTAATTTTTCCCCTTCTCCTTCTAAGCTTATTCTCTTCTTGGCATCTCATATCTTTCAAGTGGGGGCATAAAGTCAACTGTCAATTATACACAAATATATGTAGATTTTCCATTTGGGGAATGTACTAAGAAAAATGTTCATCTTAATTTAGATTCTCTCCATCATTTTAACCCTCCTCTGGTCACCTTCCTTCAATCAAATCACCTCAAAGATGAAAATTATTCTGTAATTGTAAGTAGACCAGGGAGATACATCTACTAAAATTTTTTTGTCATGTATATATTCAGTATAATCCAAGCCTAATTTTGTAATTATTGAAGGTTTTTGCATTATCTTTGCCTCAGCTTCCAAACACATGGAGTAACTGAGATCTGACACCATGACTGTTCCAAGACACTAACAAAGAACATGAGTCTGTATCTGATGACTTCATTTGGGTGACATTTTGACGGTTGTGTTGCACATAAACCTCTGTACCAGTTTCTCTGTTCCATAAGTGAAGAAAAGAATTATTGATCTCACCCTGAGGTCTTCCATGGGACAAAACTGAAAATGTCTACGTGAGGATCCTCAGACCATTAGGTATCATGCCAGATAGTTTAAAGAAATCTCTTCCTTAGAGTAAGAAACTACTAACGTGGATCAGAAAGTTCAGAAAAATGGTGGAGTATGATATAAATTCTAAATATGAAAATTTTCCTACCTCAGCAATGACTTGGCAATAAAATAAAATGGTACAGTCATTATGAATTAAACATTTTAATGACTTAACAATGGCATAGGAACTGCCATTGATTTCATGTTAAAGAAAGGAGGACACAAAATTGTGTTTATTTTATAATCCCAGCTTTAAAAAAATGCTTATTTTTTTATTCACTAAAACAAGGATTAGATAGAAATATATTAAAATGTTAATAGTGCTTCTCTCTGTGTGGTGGAATTTTGGGTCATTTTTTTTTTTATCAGGCTGCATATTCCAACCTTTCTACAGTAAGAAATTTTACAATCAAGGCAAGAAACAGTAAACATCATGAATTATAAAAGCAAGTTGAAAGCTTAGGAATGAAAAGAGGATACTTTATGGATGAAACATATTCCTAACTCTCTCCACTGCTCACCTGCATACCCAACAAAGGAATGAATTATTTTAAACTAAGAGATACATAAAATGTATGTGGTTTTGTAAGCATAGCATCTCCTTGACCATAGGGCACAAGCATTTCAGTTAACAGCTAGCTGGATAGCTTCTTGTAAATAAACTTGTGTTTAGAAATTAATCCTTGATATTGACAGTTTAGAAGTGTTCAATATAGTTGTTGGGACCAATCCTTTCCTCCACTGTTGTGTCCCCTTTCCCCCATATCCGACAGAGCATAGCGGTTGTGGGCCTTAAACATGTGACAGGATGTCCTTTTTCTCACTCCGTCTCCCCTCAATCTTCAAGAGGTCTGCTTCTAACTCCTGGTTTCCAAGGATTTTCTCTTAAACCTTGGATCATGGAAAGAAGCACCAAGAAACTATACCCCAATCAAAACTTTCTAGGAGAGTCATAAGGTCCATTCAAAGGGTAGAGTTGAGTACATTAAGCTTTTTCAGGAGGTGGCATATCAGATGATTCAGTTATAAAGAAATAATAGCTTCATTATAAAATGTTACTTTTCCTATTTTATCAGTTCCAGTGTATTCATACCAGTTTTATCATACATATGGCATTCAAACTGACCAATATTACACTGATCTGTGAATAAAGATATTTAAAAGATGGTACTTCAAAAAAAAAGAAATTTCTTATATCTTTTATAACAGTAATAGCAAGTAACATATTGCAGCTGTTTACTATTATAGACACTGTATATTTGTATATAAACAAATTTTATAGATATTATTTTTAATACTCTCCAAAACATATATATGTGTAATGTATTTTAAGAATTGTTATTAAAGAGATGAGCACACTGAAGTTCTCAACACTACCTATTTCTGCCTGACAGAGGGCCAGGTTGGAAGGTAAAAGCAGAGAGAGCTAAAGGCCCCCCAGCACTTGTGTTATTCACACAGATGCCCACCAGCCTCGGGCACTGCAGGATTTCTGACTGCACACGTGGGCACTGGCTCATGGATGCCAGTGATTCGATTCTTTAGTTACTTTGTATCTGTCCATGTCCTTTCTAGTGCCTCACAGATGCTACTCTTCTTGAGTAAAGGGTAGACAACAGATGCAAAGCCTTAGCAGGGACTTCACACCCTCTCTCATCCCAGTGTCCTGTAACTTACTCATTAGCTCTAGGCGTTCGGGTTTGGGTTTCTCCTAGGATGTTCCCAGTCCAGAACAGGCTCAGTAGCACTGCGGCTGTTTTCTGGACACATTTGCTGTCTCGGCCCCACTTCCGTTCCAGGCTGACCTCCCTCTCTCCCTCCCTTCCTCCACCTTCGTGCCCTGCCCCAGCTCACTGGGTCTCGGTGCTGAAGAGGAACTCGGCCTGGGTGCCCTGTACATTGTGCCGCAGAAAGAGTCGGAAGAGGTTTTTGTGGGGTCCGTGTAGCTTCATTTCGCACTTTTCCCCCCGGATGGAGGAGAAGGGCGCATGGTCAAATACCAGGAATCGGCTGCCCCTGCAAAATACAAGGCTTTTCAACCTGATTCTAGAGTTGTCATACCTCATCCACCCTCATATCTTTGGATTCAAAATCCCTGTCCTTAGCATGGGGAGCCCACAAATACTCATAAAAATCATAAGATGGTGCTAATGCACTCCCGAGATGGTATCTCCAGAGTCCCAGAGGGCTTTGCCACCAGCCTGGTAAACTACATGCCTAGTGCAATGGATCCTTCACCACTTTAAAGAGTCGGAGAGACAGAACCAATATAAATGTTCTAAGGCAGTTAGGACCAGAGAGTGTGGATCTGGAATTCATTAAGTATCTCCAGGTTAGTAGGCTGAGTAGCCCAAAGAAATCACAAATGGACTAATGTGAGCATCTGATAGGCTAATTTTTCGCATGGCTTTGTGTTTATTACATGGTACATGTCCTGCCATGTGATCTCATGACAAAATTTGGCGGGACAGCCCTCTTGCTTTGGGCCTTTCTTTCCCCTAGGCCACGGCATGGCCTCCATGGGTTGAGCCAAGGAGAAGGGTTCTTCTGGGAACAAGACCCTTCTCTGTGGCTTTTAGTCCTTCCCTCTTGCCTCATCCCATTTCCCTCTTGAGCTCTGGCCTCCCATTCCAGTCACTGACTCTCGGGGCCGAGACAGCAACAGACAGTCATTGAAGAGATGCAGGTGGACTGGACGCGTGTTCAGCTTTCTTCGCAGCCCTGGGGAGCCACTGAACTCAAGGGCTGTCAGCTCGCCGCTCTTCACCAGCCAGCGTGACTGTGAAATGAGCGGGAATATCTAGAGGGTAGGGGAGGACAGACAGGGTAGTGTCACACAGAATGAGTGGGAGGTTTCCCCTCAGCCCTGCCCTCCTCACCACACCTCTCCCCCTAAGTCCCACCAGTAAAGCTCGTCTCTTCCACAGCCTCCCTCTTGCCCATAACCCATCCATGTGGATGCTGTCTCCCTCTGGACCCTCTCACTACCACTGTCTGCTGTTGTGCGGCTCCCATGTCTACAGTTCAGGCAAATGGAAGGGGCCTATGTCTAACCCAGGCCAGGGGCTGCATGAGAAAGCTCAGCCCGAGAAGTGTGAAGTGCAGAAGGGACGCAAGAGCTCAATTAGGGCACACAAAGAAACGAGGCAGGGAGCAATGTGTGTGCGCCTTAGAAGCAAAAAGATTTGGATGGTTCTGACATCTGCTTTTAACCAGAGACAGGAGAGGAGCAGTCAGAATCACACGTGAGAAGAATAAAGAGAACTAGGGAGGGTCTGCTTGGAGCTGGAATTTTAAAGATAAGCATACTGGACTATAATTAACATGTGGATAAGGGATTTTCTCTCTTTCCCAAAGATGTAAGGATGGTATGTCAGTTGGAATTTGAAAATGGAATGTGTATTTTAGATTTGTATGTGCGTGAGATTTTGGCCTTATATTTGGATTCAGTTTTATATTGCTTTGGTCAGATTGCATGGAGACTTGATAGAACTTTGAATGGTTCAAGCCCCACACATTCTTTATGAAAACTTATGCTAGTTAAGTTCTCTCTCACCTGCCCAGTTCCCAAATGCACACTCACCCCGTCAGGTGACCACTGCCCCTTTTCACATACCCTTCCAGATTTTCTTTATGTATACGCAAGCAAATACATATACAGATTTATATCCTCCTATTTCACCCAGGGACATTTACAGTAATACACACAGTCCTGTACCTACCCCTTTTCACTCACTTAACACTGTATCGTGGAGACTGAAGCAAGCATTCCAGAACCCCAGAAGGCATGCAGAAATGAGGCAGAGAAGGGATAGTGTAAGTTAGGGTGGTTTTAAGTTAGACAGTGACCTGTGGCATACGCTAAAGAGCTTCAAGGGCACTCACTTTGCATTCAAACTCAATCTTCTGGCTCAGGTAGATCAGCTCCTCTGTCCGCCGCATCCTCTGGACATTGTTATTGCAGTCTCGGATCAGCTGAGGGTTGAGCAGGCGAGAGGAAAGAGAAAGAGCGCCGTGTTAGAGGCCCTGACCTTTGGGGTCCCTGAAGAAATCTGAAAATTGGTTGGGACAGTCTCAGGCCTTTCTAACCAGGCTGGAATTGCATGAAGGCCGCATCAAGTTGAAGTTCTAGGACTCTGGTAGACTTTGTATGATCTGGTGGAACACTCCAAGGCCAAGCAAAAGTAAGATGATTTAACCTGGGAGCTGTGGCAGTGCACACAGTCCCTTGGTGCGGGGTGTCCTCAGTGTGGGAGTGGAAGCCGTGTGTGGGGGGGATGTCTGCAGGCTCGGCGGATAGGCAATCCCACCGGCAGGGTCCTGTGCTTTCTGGAGTCGGGGGCCCGGGCAGAGAGGGGCTCACAGTGAGGTGGTGGCCGCCTACCTCCTCGAGGGCATGGTGCGCCTTCGTGGCCTCTGCTTCCTCTGAAGAGCCGGGCTGTGTTCTCTTCAGGATGTTCTACAGAACAAACAGTAGGCAGGAGCCACAGGGAAAGAGGGGCAGGAAGATGGGAAGTGGTGGTGGAGGGCAGGCTAATGGAGAAGTCCAGGAACAAAGTTCTAGCAGCAAATTCACCCCGAGAAGGAAGGGTGTGGGCAGTGGGGGGACTGCTCACGTCGCCCATGGGGCCGGTAGAGCGGCGGGAGTATGGGCGGTCCTTCACTTTGGGGCTCCTAGAGCGGGTTCCCCTCCAAAGGCCCCTCTGGGTGGAGGGGAGGGGCCACAGCAGGACCTGTGTACCTGGAGCAGTAGTTTGAGGCGGGTGATGCGCTGGAAGGGCAGGATCAGAAAGGACTTGAGGGAAAGGCGCTGGCAGATGGGGTCGCTCTCCAGCCTCTCCAGGACATCCCGGAAACTGCTGCTGCTATTCCTGCAGGGGCAGCGAGCCTCAGTGAGGAGGGCCTGGGGAGGGCTGGGGTGGTGGGGAGGGCATGGGGAGCGGAGACTCAGGGGGATGTCTGTGGGCGGGGAAAGCATGTGCTAGCAGAGGGCACAGGGTGGGCCTGGGATCTCAGAGCAGGTGCCAGAACACTTGCTCTTGGGAAGGCGCTCGGGCTGGCAATGGGGGGCTTTGGTGCAAGGTCGCTGCAGGGCCCACATGGGGACAAATGGGGGGTCAGGTCTCACAGCAGATTTTGGAAGGTGCGTTCCTGGTAGGTCTGGTTGGTGACATAAGGCAGGTAGACCCGACGGAAGTCAGGGGCATGGCTCAGGACCACATCACACACTTGGAAGGTGAAGATGTTGTTCTCGAAGTTCTCTTCCAGGTCGGAAAGGAAGCTGCACGGTATTCAAATAAGCCTCATGGGTCTCAGGTGAGCAGCTGCTGACCCCGGCTACCCCCCGAGCCTGTGACTTCTCTTCATTAGTAAATAAGTTCCACTGACCGCCCCTAGCTCTGCAAGCCTTGCTGTGCACTAGAGTTCTCTCCAAGGCTGTCCCTGGTTTGTCCTGATTTAACTCTGGACCTAATATTCCATTTCTTGCTCTCTTTCTGATGCTGTTCCGGTCTTCTGATCTCATCTCCAATGCAGGGCTTGTCCACCGTACATCCAAAAACCTCAAGCCAGTAATTCACTCATTTGTTTATCCCTTGGTGGAGCTACCCACCCAGACACACTCTCTTTGTTGCTTTTCTTACCCCTATGATATTGGGAAGCATGGGAGGAGCAATGAGAGGGTTTCTAATAGGGAAAAAAACAACTGAAGGTTTATAGGCTGAAGACAGTGAGTGGCATTCGGAAGAAAGGGACTCTCACGTGGCGCTGACGTCACGCACGTCCTGTAAGCGAGAGAAGAGCCACTGGTGATCCTGGTTGGAAAGGGTGACCCGGAGCTGGGATGACAGTTGGAAATGGTCCACGGCTACGTTCAGACTGCGCAGATAGGACGCCTCTGACACAATCAGCTCGAATTTGGCCTGGGAGGTCATGGAGCAGGGAGGTTAATTAAAAACATTTATCAAGTCCCTGGGGTATGCTCGCCACTGTGTAATGCTGTCGGGGTAGAGTATGGACAAGACAGATCCTTTGATAGCTCACAATCCTGCCAGAACCTAACCTGATATCAGGCGGAGAGGGAAAGAGCATCTGAGGCCCAGCGAAGAACCAGTACAAGACCCCAGAGCTGGAAGAGAAAAAAAATGCTTTCAAGAAACCTAATAAATTAAGTGTTTTTAGAACTCAGTGTACTGAAGGAGTGGCAAGACAGGAGACTGAGAGGCAAACAGAAACGAGGCCTGGAGGATTATGTACACAAGGTAAAACAGTTTGGACTTAAGACAATGGGCGAACAAAACAAGGCTTACACACAGGGCTAACTTGACCAGATTTGTTTTTTATAAAGGTATTTCTGAGCACACTGTGGAGGAAAGAATAGAAGGGGCAAGAGAGCCGTGTTGGGAAACTGTTGCAGTAACTCCAGATGACACGATGGCTTGAACAGCCTTGGAGATGAGGAGAGGTAGGTCACTTCTGCAATTACTCAGGAGGGGGATTTGGAAGGGCTGGTTACTTGCTAGAAATTGGGGCTGAAAGAGCAGCAAGAGTCGCACCTAACGTCTCAGGTTTTGGTTTTGGTAACGGGGCAAACGGTGGAAGTTATTTTCTGAGCCAGAGAACTTTGAAAAAGGAACAGATTTAGGGGATGAAAGTAGTTTGGGGTTTGAGGAGAAAGGGAAGGATGCAAGATATTTGAGAACATGATGGTGCAGTTGTGGTTTCAGGGAAATAGCACTTGAGAGCTTGTTTGGAGGCTTCAGCTGGGGCATGACGACTCACAGCCCTGTCCCCCTCTGCCTGGGCCGGGCATGCTCTTCATTCAGGCATGCAGCCTCAGGACAGATGCACAGAAAGAGAAGACACACACACTTTGGTGGTGCCTGGGGCAGTCGAGCACATGACCCAATGACCCTAGCATACAACACTGACCTGGGACACTGAAGGTTCATTTGCCCCCTGGCTCTAACGCTCATTGGCTGTATGACTTCAGGTAGCTCATTTAACCTCACTGACCTCAATTTTCTTGTCTTTTTGTGTAGGAATAATGACCCCTTCACAAAGATATTATAACAGTCAAAAGAAAGGGAGTCAACCGAAGCACTCTGTAGACCCCAGAAGTGCTACTTTATGAAAGCAATATGTGTGCGTAAGTGTACAGGCTTCTCTTCTCAGAAACATGAGACCAGGGCTGGCCCAGGATCCCTGGTGGACCTCCCAGTACGCTACAGTTGGTGAGAGAGAGCCTGGGTTCATGTCATCTCCCCACTGATCAGGCCCATAAATATTCTAAATATCCACCGTGTGCTTTAAAAGATGAGGTCAGAACAGGGCCCCCAAGTCCAAGCTTCAAAAAACCTAAAAATTTGTATCTGTCTCTGTTTGACTTGGGAAAAGCATTGTTTATCCATGAGTCCTTCTGGCCAAAATTTTGCACCTTCCCACCTCTAAAAGGGGAAAGAGTTTGGCACTAATATGTACTGGGCACTATGCTAGAAGCTACATCTGCATTACTCCATTTACACCACACAGCAGCCTGAAAGGTAGACATTATTGTCCTCAATTTATAGATGAGAAACAGATTTGGTGAAGTTATATAACTTGTCTCAGGTTACACAGTTTAGCAGATGGTGAAGCCAGGATTCAAATCCAGGTCAGCCTGACTTGAAATTAAAGTAGTAAACATTTTTTGAGTGATTACTAGATATTAGGAACTGATTTTTTGATTCTCCCCGTAATTCTTTGCAACCCTATTTTACAAATTAGGAAACAGGAGCTTAGAAAGATCGAGTAATTTGCCCAAGTTAAATAGCTAGCAAATACTAAAGTGGGCTTCACATCTAGGTTATTTACTCCAGAACCTAAGTACTTAAACATTTTCCCATTATGCTTTTACATTGTGCCATACTGGGAAGAAAGGTTCTATCTCATTTCAGATATGATTCATATCAATTCCTAAGAGAACTCTCCATGTAAAACCCATTAATAGCCATCATTTAACATCGGACAAACAGCCTCGTCTACAGTCTTGCTACTGGGAGTAAGGACCAAGCAAAGACTGGCGGTCATTCGAAAGCCCCTATGAAACCAGTGGACCCAGGACAGCTGTAAGGGGCATTCTTCAAGGGACGCAACAAAAAAAACACCTTTGCTTGGCCTTGGCTGAAGAGGGAAATTTCAGTTTAGCCTGAAGCAGCAGTGATGGGATTAATCCCACACACCTCCCAACAAATTCAGAGGCATGGTCACTTTGCATGAGCCCAAACCAGTAACAGGTGGGGGTAAGCGGCCCATGGAATGACACAGTGGAGAGGAGGGTGCTGACACTCAGAAGCAATTCCAAGCCCTCAGAGTGGAGACGACCCACAGTTGTGGTGGACAAGGAGACATGGGAGTATGTGGCAGGGCCATCCTGCTCTTGCTGGTGGCGGTGAGTAGGAGATAAGGATGCAGGCAAACGAGCCCTTGCTTTCCCTCCTGCATCCCCTCCCCAGCTCCCCTCCTTGGGCGTGCTGGGGCGCTGGGTACCTCTTGCAGCTTCTGGCCTTCGTGGGTCATGGAGAGCAGCACAGTGCTGTTGCGCACCACAGGGATCTCCTGCCAGAGGGAGCCGCTGGAGGCCACGGAGAGGCGCTGCAGGTAGGACTCCGAGGACACCAGGGCCCTGCGGGGCTGCCGGGGGGAGGCTGGCCCGGGCGCCTCCGACAGGCCGTCCCGACGCTGCTGGCTCTGAATCTCCTTGTTCAGAACCACATCGCTGTACTCCTGGTAGAGCAGCTGAGCTACAGGGGCGAAGCAGCACGAGACAGGGAGAGAATTAGGGAGACAGGGGAGCTGAGGCACAGAGACACACCAAAGTCACCAAGCAGCTTCTGGCTCTCCTGGGAACTGTCTCCCTGCAGACAGCACCTCCCCGCTGCTGACAGCCAGGAGCCCCGCGCCGGTCTTGGGCACAGCACCCACGAGGGGCTCGGGTTCTGCTTCCAGGGACTCACAAGAGTTGATAAGCTTTGAGCAGCGCCTTGAAAAGCCTCCCATCACCTCCTTTGGTTTCTTCTCCCTGTGGAGTAAAGAAGGACTCTGGGGTGATTGCTGGTTAGGTACGAAGAAGCCCCAGGTGACTGCGGATGAGACGGTCTATAATCTCTGGGACATATGCTGGGATGTCAGGGCCCAAACCCCTCGAGAGGCAGGTTGTGACCTGACCCACTTTGGGGTAGTTTGGAGCTTTTACGGCTGTCATGTTGAGCTTGCACCAGGGTTGACTGAGTTCATGGCCAAAGGGCTCAGGAGGCCGGGAGATCTGGACTCAAGCTGACAGAACCAGGGAGACCAAAGATCTTCCTGCCCTGGAATCCTGATGTCTCTCTCTTCCCCTCCCAACCCCTGGAAGGCACAGGGCCCTAGGACCCTAGTCAACTAATGGAAATTTTTAAGAAAAGCTGGTACAACTACTATGTCAGGAGAGAGGGTGACTCACCGAAAAACAATGGTGTCTGAAAGGCCAGGGGATTTTTCCATGGCTGGACCTCTTGTATCTGAAAATGGAAATGGGCGAAGTAACCAGGATTTCAAAGCATCATTCAGAGAGAGCACAAGGAAGGAAGGCCTGGAGTGGGAGACGCAGGCATCCAGCGGGGGTAAAAGGGCCCCCCTGGAAACCTGCGGGGGAGGGAAGTGCCAGGGCAGAGAGCCCTGGGGCCCGGAGGGCAGCGGCGCCAGATGTGTCCCCGCTCCGGTCAGACCGTGAGCCGGACGAGGAGAGGATGTCTCCCCAGCTAAGAGAACATCAAGCAGGTGTTGGTAACTGGCAAGTGGGGCAAGGGTGGGGGGTGGTCCAGAACAATTCTGGGAAAAAAGGGATACAGAATCAAAGAACACCAAGACTGGGTGACAGACGGAGAGCGAGGGGAAGGGAGAGCATCGCAGTGCACTCAGAGCTCTCGGGGGCTCCCCTCCGGGCGGGGCCGGGGTGTGAGCGCGAGTCGAGCCAAGGGAGGGCGCAGGACCGGGGACAGAAGAGGGATGAGGCGGCAGGAGGCGAGGAGGCTCAGTCTGCAGGGAGGGGTGCAGGCTCTGGGCTCACCTGCAGAGCTGTCGGGCAAGATGGACGGTCTGCGCAGGCCCTGCCGGTTCCAGCCCTTGTGCTTACTGGAGCCCTCGCCGGGGCCCGCGGGCCGCCCATGGCAGCCCTCCGGAGGTCTCCCGGGGTCCCGCCTGTGGGGCCAGCTGGACGCCTTTTCCAGATGGGGATGGCTCGGCTTTTCTGGCTGCCTTGCTTGGCTTAGACCCAACTTCCTCAGGCCACTGGGTCCTTTCTGAGAGGTGGCTGTTCTCAAAGATCCTCTGGCAGGGGCCTCAGACTCTTCCGAGAGCCCCGGTTCAGACATGGGTCCCTGGAGCTCCGGAGTCCAAGGGGCGGTTGGGGAAGAGGGCCCGAGAAGGGTCGCCGCATTGCTGAAAGCCATGCCCGGTACTTCCCTCTTGCTCCTGCCGGTGGGAACCAGGGAGTCCGCTGACCTGCCCATGGCCGGGGGCCAAGAGGTACGTCCGGCTGAGTGGGGCGTGGGGACTGTCCACTCTTGACAAACGGGCCTCGGTTTGCCTTGACCCCCCGAGTTCATGAATCCTCCCTGAGTAGTCCTGGTCCTCCCCCTGGACTTAGGGGGTAACGGGGGTGGTTCAGGGGGAGGATCCATGATAGGAACAGGGGGGAGAGGCCTGTAGATCCTTGGGCTACCAGAGGAATGGTGGGGCTGGGACAAGTCAGGAGTCGGGGGTAATGGTTTGTTGTACTTCAGCCTGGGGGAGAGAGAGGTCTGAGCGTGGCAGGGCGTGTCCGGGGTGGAGGGCAGTGGTCTGTGCTCCCTGGCCACAGGGGGCTCAGGAACTTGGGGAAGTGCGCCTCTGGGAGGGCCATGTAGCCCTGAGCCTGCAGTCAGAGCAGGAGGGCGGCTACCCCTCCTCAATGTGGGGGCCGCTTCCCAGAGATGGCCGTCTTTCTCCACCAGGGAAGGGTAGACGTGCCTCTTCTCTGGGGGCGGAGGTGGTGGAGGCTCATGGATCCTCATGTCTGTGGAGACAGGAGGTGGAGAGCCACAGGCAGGAGTCGCTAGGGCAGAGGTTGAATTACGTGGGGACCCCCATGGCTGCCTGCTTTCTGGATGTGAGGTGGATTCTCGGGAGTCTGGCCCCAGAGAGGACAATGAACTAAGGGATCCTGGAACGGCACTGCAGTCCCTATGGCCTTTCCTGTCCCTTCTTGGCATCACAGAGCCATAGATGGCAGGTTTGGGGGGCCTCTGGGGCAACTCTGAATGGGAGGAGGACAGGGATATTCCCACTGGGTCCAGAGCCGGCTCTGTCCTGTGAGAGCCCGGGAAGGAGTTGCTCCTCAGGTGTTGGACAGCCCCTGTCCAGTTGGCCAAGGGGCTCTGAGGGCTGGCCCAGTGGGAGCTGGCACATGGCTCCATGGTGGCCTCTGCAGAGGGGAAGCTGTGGAGGGCAGCCTCGGAAGCCCTACAGGGAGATGGCGAGTCAGTCCAGGCAGCAGCCCTGGAGGTTTCTGGAGAACACGCAGCAGGAGAGGGCTCCCTCCTGGGCAAGTCACCCGGGGGGCGGGCAGATGGGGCGGTGGTGCTGGGGGAGGCTTCAGCAGGACTGCAAGGAGCCACAGCGGCCGTCCTTGGAGGCAGGGGAGGGGTCCTTCCAGAGGCCACCTCCGCGCCCTGGCTGGACACTGCCCGCTCCCCCAGCCCGGCTCCCCCCTGCTGGCTGTCCTGAGCTGCCCCTTGATCAGGTGGCTCTCCAGCGGGAAAGAAGCTGGGTGAGGAAATGGGCTGGCGGGGCGATCCCGTGGGCTCCAGTGTAGGGGTCAGAGGTACGGAGGGCTGTTCCTCAGCCCGAGGCTCTGCCTGAGTCCTGGGAACACTCATCATGGAATAACAGGCGTCTGTAAATAAGGCACACGGGGTGGGGGCCTCAGGGGCTGTGAGAGGCGGGGTGGGAGGACCATCACACTCTTCCCCCTCTTCTGCACACCCCTCGCCGCTCTCTCCCTGCAGCACGGCCCCGTCCCGACTCCCTGCTTCCTCCTCCCCCGCTGGCCTTTCGCGGGGCACCACTTGCCCCTGTGGACCCTGACCTTCTTGCTTTCCCAAGACCTTCTCTGATCTTCCCGTTAGGCCTTGATTCTGCTGGTACTGAGCATCCACCCTAACCTCCTCTGGCCCCCTCAGCACCCCGAACCCCTGTTTGCCCTGTTCGAGATCCTGCTGGCCCTGAGTCCCACTCCCCCTCTCACCATAGAGCAGGGCTCCCAGGTCCCCACTGAGCCCCTTTCCTTCTTCTTGTTTTGCAAGTACATCATAGGGCGCGGGCTCCTGTTTCTGCCTCTCTCCCACTGAACCATCAGCCTGCCCCCCTGTCTGTTCCTGCTCCCCTAAAAGCCCATCAGAACACACATCCTTCCCTGGAGTTCCATCCCCCTGAAAGCCCACTCCCTCTAGTCCCTGCCCCTCTAGCCCCTCGGTCCCCTGGGGACACACAAACCCTCCTCTGCCTCGACTTCCCTGCATCCCTGTGGACCACAGCTCCTCCCCCTGCCTGACGGTTCCACGTTCAGCGTCCTGTGGATGGTTGGTCTCTGTAGTGTGCTCTTCACAAGAAGGCCCAAATCGGGTCTGAGCAGACACGTCTGGAGAAGTTTCCTCCTCTTCTTCTGCTTCTCTGGTTCCCAGTATCAAAGAAGTGGGTTCCCGTCTAAACTCTGTCTCCACTCTGCTGGCCAGTTCACTGGAGACAGGGACCATGTCTGGGTGTTCACCCTGCACAGGGCAGGCCCAGAGCTCTGAGGGAGCTGAAGTCCTCGCCCATGTGTCTGCCAGGCTCTGGGGCAAGGCCTCCTGGTGCCCTGGACTGTCACTGGTCTCGGCCATCAGGTCTTCCTGGTCACTGTCCACATCTGCAGAGGCTTCCTCGGTTTGCAAAGGGGTCATGCGCTCACTTGCAGAGCTGTTTGCATCCCTCGCCTCTCTCTGCGGGGAATCCATGGCCCTGTGTCCCTCTGCCCACGTAGAGGTCACATCCTGGCCTTCTTGAGCTCCAGGCTCCAGGGCTGGGGTCTGGCTGCTTCTCATGAGAGCTTCAGGGATGGCACTGAATTCCACTCCGACAGGGACAGGAGTCAAGGCTCCATGAGTGGGTTCCTCAGCCTCCATCAGGGCTGAATCCTAAAGAGGAATAAAAGACAAAGTTTCCATCACCTCTTCCACTTATCTACCAGGAGTACGGATCGTGAAGAACATGAATGGGCACTCCTTTGGTTCCACTTAGAGTCATTTTTTGAGACAAAGGTACTCAACAAAATGAGCAATGGACTCTGTAAAACTTATTTATTTATCCATTTAATAAATATTTACCCAATGACCCATATAAATGTGGAGCATTCAGCAGTGAACAAGACAAAGACCGTGTCCCCATGGAACCTGCAGTCTTGTGGGGAAGACTGAGGAGAAACAATTAAATCAGAGCGTAAGACCATTGTCAGAGTACCAGGCACTCCCAGTGGTCATTCTCTGCTCTCAGGATTACATGAGGTCATTTGTCTCTCCGTGTCTACACTCTGGACACCAAGAGTGACTCAGTCCCATATACCTCCAGGCCCTGTGAGGGGCACATGCTAGAACGAGCAGCCCAGTGCAGCAGTGTCTGCACGGGGCTGTTCCTCCCAAGCTGCTGACAGGGGTTAAAACAGCCAGTGTCCAAGGTCCCAATGCGGTATGTCTCCTTTACACTCAGTCTGATTTTGCTCATCTTATTTCTATAGTGCCTAGCAGGGCCTTGTAATTACTTAACAATTTCATGTTCAATTACAGAGGCACCTGCTGGGCAGTGGAATGCAGACTAGACTTATCAGAGCACCACGGGGACCCACTTCACCTCGTCCCACAAGACGGTCGCCATCATCACCTTACTCTCCCCTTCTCTCCGACAACCGTGAGCTCTACTCATTGCTCTACTCATTCAACCTTCCTACCTCTCTTCTCAATTCCAGCAGAATACCTCATCTCCTGCTTTGCAAAGAATGTAGAAACTGACAGAGAGGAAATGCTCTGGTTTCTTGTGATTCAGAGTGACCCCTGTTTTGCTCTTCCCATCTTTCCTTCTGTGACAGGGCACAGGTGTGCCTCCTCCCCAAGTGCCTGCCCTCTGGGAACCTCATGCTACAGATGATGCCTTCCTCTAGGTAAGAATCCTCCCGCCAGAACCGGAGCATGTTTGCATCTCTAACTCATAAAAGGGAGCATTCCTACCCGCTGTCTTCATAGCTTCACATCTCCTCTCCCTCCAGCCCAGCTGCCATAGCACCACCCTGCCCACCCCCACCAAGATCATCAAGTTGCTAACTCGAAAGGAGACTCTACGGTCACCTATTTGGTGGTTCCTGGTGGCACCTGACACTACAGACAAAATTAGTAGTTCCTCTTTTTTTATATTTGTGAGATACATTTCCTGGTTTAACCCCTTAAGTTTTCCCCAATCCTCTAAATAGGTTACAAAACTCTTCTTTGTATCTGTAGCACTTACCACCTATAGTTTATTGTACATCTTCTCTGCAGCACGTACACAATTGTAAGTACAGAATTGTGTGTTTTGATTTATGATCTATCTCAAAACAAGGGGTGGCAAGCCTCCTGAGATTGAGAATGATGTGTGTTTTGCTCAGCTGTCTATATTTGGTATAATACCTGGCCTATTCACCCTGCACAGGGCAGGCCCAGTGCCCAATCAATGGTTTTCAGTCCCAGAATAAAATTCTTGTTTCCCTCTTGACCCACATTCCCCATATCGAATCTGTCACCAACTCCTATTGACCCCACCTCCAGAGCGTCCCTCAAGTCTATCCACTCCGCTCCAGCTCCACGGCTGGACCCTGCTGCAGGCACTGTTCCCTCTCACCCAGGCCCCTGCACTGGAGACACAGCCTGGCTGCTTGCCTCCACACAGCCTCTCTTGCCCAACTTCCAAGGCATTGTCTGCCCAGCACGGGAGTGGTCCCTCAAAGCCCCACCTGTGGCCTGAATTCTTCAGTAGCCTCTGACTGCCACTGGGATGGACCCCAGACACTCAGCGTGGGTTACATGCCTTCCATAGCCAGCAGCCCCCTCACCTGTCAGCTCCTCCCGACCTGACAACTTTCAGCCCTGCCAGCTCCTCTCTCCCCCTCTCACCTGTAGGCCTTCATGTGAGCTGTTGCTCTGCCTGGAATCCTCTTCTCCTGCCCCAGAATCCTTCACCACTCTTCTCTCACACTCACTGCACTTGTAATTACAATACTAACGTCTATTTTCCATACTAACATCTCATTTTCTATGAGCTTCGTGAGGGCACAAACACGGCCACATTCATCAGTCGATCCCCCTGCCTCAACTTTAGTCAGCTCTCAACAAAGATCTATTGCATGGATGAGTTAAGGAAGAGAGAAGACAGAGTTAAGAGTGCTGTTCAATGTTTAGTTCTGCCTTTTTTGTATCTTGCTAATTTTAAGACAAATGTAGAAATTATTTACTTTATTTGAACATCCATTTTCTTATCCTCAAAATATAAGAGGCATTCCTTTGCAAGGAGTTCTAATGAAGATTAAATAAGACAACATTAAAAAGTGCACTGTTAATTTCATAGAAATGCTAGGGACTGTAATTATTGTTGACTAAAGAAAGAGTAAGTATGAAATACAGGATTTATCAGCTGGAAGGACCTTTAGAGACACACTGCTTAATTTACAGATGAAGAAACTGAAGTTCAAATAACCTAGACACACTCAGATTTCCTAGGCAAATAGTACAGGTGAACTCAAACCAAGCTCTCCTGACTGAAGTCTACTACAAGTGACCAGACGTCCAGAAGCAATAAGAAAGCTGGCAGGTCACCAGCCTGAGAAGGCCCCGGGGGCCTATGGAACCCACAGCTGCACCTGGACCCTTACCTTTCTTGTCTAGACTTAAAGTGGAAGCCCAACGCCCACACACCTGCTGGACTGCTGAGATATTGCACATGCATACCTACTTGTGTAAGCACGCATCCACACGCACACACATGCGCAAAAAGCCACCTTTGCAACTGCTATGCAATAGAACTTGACATAAGCAAGCAGGTCCCTAGCCACCCTGCAGGTATAGTATGTGACAATTTCCTGGCCACCCCACAGACACAGATACCATCTATATGGGGCAAAGAGCCATATTCAACATAAACAAACCTTTGTAGAAGGACTTCTATGTCCTTTTCCAGTTAATCAACATGGTGCATGATTTGCTCCCGGTATCTGGCCCTAAGCACAAAATACTATAATCATTATGGATGAGACTATAATGTGACCCTGTTCTCCCAACCACACGTTAAATAATATACTTGCTCACTGAAAACACTTTCTGAAACTTGGCTCCTACCTGCCTAAGCAGAGTGTGTGACTAAACCTATCACCTCCCTCCCCCACATCTATATCGTTCTGGCCCTGTGCCCATTTATACTGTCATGTCCTCAAAACAAGCGGCCTCTAAGTGTGTTTCTGCTATATTTGGGCTTTATCTGTCTGCACTGTGTGCTAAATGGACACCTTCTGTTCCATCCTAGTGATACGATGCATGTCTGTCTCCTGCAACCCCATGGACACTATTTGTAACACCATCTTCAGCTATCTGGAAATACTACCAGATCAGCCAGCACTTACTTATCCCGTGTTTCCTGTATTTGATCCTGTCCTAGGAATCCTAGTACAATCAGGCATGACTAGGCTACAAGGCGGCAAAGCTAAAGGAAGTCTGTACGGCATGGCTTTACTCACAGAGGCATCAGGAGAGGATTGCTGCACAACCCTTTAGGTTAGAGTCACCTCCTCATCTCCTCCACCACCAGAGGAGCATTCTCACTATTTATCTGAGCACACGCCATCATGGTGATCTGGCATTCCTCTGGACCACAGACATCTTTCATATGCTGACCCCATCCACACACAAGGTCTTTCAAGACAAAGTTCCGAGTCACCCCAATAACACAGAGTCTGACAGAGCATCTCCCTTGGGGCCCCTTAACACCTCGGCTCTTGTTCACTTCTAGCCACCAAAGTTGTATTTCAAAGATACGCCCTCCTCCCATCACACTGCCTTTCCTCTGAACCGATGTCGAGGGCCAGGCGTGTTCTTGAGGACCATGCTTCCTGGATTTTCTAGCAGCGTCTGTTTCAAATATTCTGACTTAAACACTACAAATCACCAAAATACTATTGAAGTTACAATACTTTTGTGTTTATACTGTATCAGCTATGTTGCTGCTCACCATAGGAAAATACCCTCCAAGTCAACAGATAGGTTCTCATTTTCATTTAGAAAATAAGACCATCACATTGATGTATGCCTTTATTCACTGTTTGACATTATTGCCTCCAAAGCTACGAGATATAAAAATGATAGCAGCTTTCTGGACCACTAAATGCTAAACCCTGTATTCTGTTCACTTCAGGAAAGCCTCACCATCCTGTGAAAACTGTAATGATCGTCTCCTATCTATTCCCCAATGTCTGAAATACCACCTCATCCACTGCAGACCCTGTAGACCTTGTAGACCCTTGTCAACAGGCTTTTGCAGAACTTCATTAGTGGCAGTGCTGACATACACCCAAGTCCACCCTTGGCCCATAATGTGAGTGTGAGTGACCTGTGTCCTTAACACAGACCCTGAGGGTGACCCTGTTCTGATCCATCTCACAGACGCTATAAGTGACCAGCTCTTATTCACTCCACAGGAATGGTGAGTGACTCAGCCTGTCCACACCAGATGCTGTAAGTCACCTGTTCGGGGCTACACCACTACACTTGAGCAACCTGCCCCTGCTCAACCTATGACCCTAAGTAACCCCGTTCTTGTCCACGCCATGACTGACCACTCCAGACACACAGATGAGACACTCCTGACCACCCCACAGATACCGGGCTTAATGTGGTCACAGACAGCCTCAGAAAGACCATGTGACGGGCAGCCATTTGCTCTACGGACCCCTAATACATGAAGATTCTTGACTGTACTTAGAATCACTGTATTCTTTTGGTAGGAGGGATTCCTTTGCGTACCTCCTGACTTCTCTCTTTTCCCCGTCAGGATAATGATATGCATCCCTCCTGTGGGACAGTCTCACGCAGAATTGGCACTCCACACAGACCCCAGACCTTCAAGGACCACCCCCCCCACACACACACACAGTAGACATGGCTTCAGTTTCAGGCCCACGGATTGGTTAACAAGTGACCCCCATTTTGCCAGAGCCTAAGCTAGGAGCTAGTTCACACTCCAAGTGTCCATAAAACAGGAAGTCTGAGAAAGAGGCCGCATAGGGACCTGTTGAGCTAGCAGCTGGGATTTCTGAGCGGGCCAAGGATGCAAGACCTTGGAATGCAGTCGGGGAGTAAAAGAGGGAAGAGGAGGGAAAAGAAAGTCATCCCCCCTCCCTGGCCTGTTTGACACACCCTCCCCCTCAGTCTGACAGAGTCCCGGCCAGAGTCCACTGCTGGGCATACAGGAGGCAAGTCTCACTTGGGAATTCAAGATCCAGGAAGGGAGAAAGGACTGAGCTCTGAAATCAAGTGGCAGCAGGACTGGCTCTCCAAGACCGTCTTGCCGGACGGCGATGATAAATTTTGCTCAGAACTAGAGCTTGAAAACAGCCCCCTCCCGCCTCCCCAGGTTTAGATGGCAATGCTATGATTGCCAGGAAACTTTGGAAGTACGCCCCCAAAATGGGAAGGAGGGTGGAGGGCAGGGCGCGAGTCATTTTCACAGGTTCAAGCGGCCCGGGCCAACAGGGGAGAGCTGTGCGCTGGGACATCCACAGTATGCAAATCCGCAGGAAGATAGACGCAGGCAGGCCCAGGCCGGGCTGGGAGGAAGGAGCGGGTGAAACATCTCCAGGGGGGAATGCGTCCGCCAAGGGCATCTCAAGTATTTCTTATTATGGGGGCTCGTTTTCCACCGCAGGGCCTGGACTTTGAGGGAGGGGCCCCGCTGGTCGGCCCGGGGAAGATCTGGGGGCACGGTGCCCATTTCCGAGGCGGGGAGCAGGCCGGAAGCAAACTTTCCAGACCAGAGCTTTCCCTCCGCGCCCCTCCTCCCGGGCCCAGGTACGCAGCCGCGCGCCCCGAACCCGCCCGTCCGCTCAGCCCCCCACCGCGGGAGCCTGCGCCCCGGCCCGGCCGGCCCCGGGGGAGGCCGCGGCCCCGGCCCCTCCCGCCCCCGCCGCCCACCGCCGGGCCCGCCGGGGCCGGGAGCTGCGGGCGAGGCGGGCACCCACCTGGCCGGCGTCACATGCTGTCTCGGCCCGAGCGCGCCCCGCGGGTCCCGGCGCCGGCCGGCCGCCCCAGCGCAGCCCCGCCGGCCGCGAGGGAGGCTCCGGCGCTGCCCGGAGCTCCAGGTGAGGCCGCCCGGACACACCTTCCCGCGGCAGGGGCGGGGCGCGGCGGCGCCGGGGCTCATGGGCGCGCAGGCGGCGCCCGCGTCAGCGCGGGGCAGGGGCGGCGGCGGCGGGCACGGCCCGGGCGCCCGGGAGAGCGGCCTCGCCCGCAGCCGCGTGCGCCCCGCCGCCCCGCCCGGCCTGCTCCGCGCGCTGAGCTCCGGGTCCGCACCGCAGCCCGGCCCCGGCTGACCGCCCTGTGCTGCTGGCCGTGCGGCGCTGCCCTCGGTCTCCGACAGCCGGAGTCTCTGGGCTTGGTCGGAGCTGCGCCTCTATCTTCGGACCTCAACGTTAGCTTCGTTCTTCCATGTCCCCAAGTCTCTCCCTCCGTGATGCACGGGGTGTCCTGCTCGCTCTCCCTGGGTCTCCCTAAAGAGCCATCACTCAGGGCCTAGGAATGTGCATCTCTGAAACAGCAATGCCCAGGTCTTTCCTCCATGTATTTTACCTGTTTGCTTCTGTATTTCTAAGTTCATTTTAGGATGATTGTCTATCTTGGGGTCTGTGTTCTTCTGTTTCTTCCAGAACCTGGGTGTGTGTGTTTATTTAAGTATGTAAGCCGAGGTCTCATGCCTGTGTGTTTTCTTATGCCTGTATTATTTTGTGAATCTTTCAGGGAAACCTTGAGTACTGTTGGTCTCTGAGGCCAAGTCGGTCTATCTTTATGCCTCTTTCTCCACAGACTTCAAAGAATGCCAAAATGTTCCATGGTGCAACCACACACAGAGTAAGGATCCCTCACCTAGGAGACGGGGGATCTTAATGTGTTCTTTTCAGTCAGATCAGCCCCCAACCCCACTCATTACTCCAGGGGTTTCCATGGCAGTGTATGTCACACACTCTGAATGGGCTCCCTGGCTGTCCTGTTCTTGGGAGTGCTGTGATCTGTAAGCCCAAGCAGCTAGTCGGTTAGACCATTTCCAGATTACTCTGCGCATTGGCTACTGCACTGATCCTAGCTAATAAGGCCTACCAGGTTTCGAAAGGAGCTATAGAATAGAATGTCTTTAAGGCAGAACAGTCTCATCTCCGTAAGTCCTGAAACACCTCTGTGCTCAGAGTGTGCTGGTTGGCCACCTTACTCTGAGCAGTTAAGCCCTAAACAGTTCAGCAGTCTTCGGCTGACTCTAAGATGTTGGAGAAGGTGTGGAGCCCTGGGGAAAACCAGGACAAGGAGTTCCGGTGGAAGGGCAGGCCTACCAGGTGGCCTAAGTTCAGCAAGATCATGAGAATGGGGAGAGCAGTAGCAAAAGTTTAAGTTAGAACTGTCTCCAGAGAGAACTCACTCCAGAGCAGGAGAGTCCTGATTTCTAATGGGCGAGTTCATAAACTTCCGGTCCTCGGGCAGAGGTTGCCAGTCTCTGCTGTGTTCCACACTGCCTGCTGGGAGTGGGCAGTGCGGCCAGGGGTGCAGCAACTGACCCCTAAACCATCCTGCTTGTTCCGTCTGCTCCACTCCCCCATGTCGCCTGGCTCTCCTTGCTTACAGCTGTCCCCTTGCTTTCTCTGAATGCCACTTAACCTTCTCTTGGTCGGCCAGCTCTGACCTATCAGCGTTTCTGTTTTTTTTTCAGTCAGTGCCCTTGATGCAATGACCTCAGGGCTTTTGTCCAGAGAGTTAAGCCTGCAAGGCTAGTCCTGATTTTCCCTATTAGTAGTGAGATGTGGGAAAGCTGACACCCATCACTTGGGGAGCTGGCTCTTCCCACGGAGCGCCCCTGCTGCAGGATGTGTGCACACAGGGACTGTCTAACCCTGCAGCTCCCCTTCCCTTTGCTGTGGAAACTATGCTTCTCACTGTTTTCCTCTTTTCTACTTTTTGATGCTTGGTTCTTGGTGCCTGGGCTTCTTAATCAGCCCTGACATCCTGTCCCAAAACATTGATATTTTATTTGAGGCTATACTTCCTCTGTAAAGGGCTGGAGAGGAGAGAGAATGGTACTGTGCAAAGAGGATGGGATTTAGATTCAGATGGGGATGGGTTTGAATGCTGCCTTCACCACTTACTTAATATGAAAATTCAGCATATTAAGCTTTCTGTGCTTCATTTGAATCTTTTTATGCTTCATTTCCTAATGTCTTACATGGGGATAATACTACTTAAGAATACCTGCCTCACTGGGTGGTTGTGGTGATTCATAAGGTAATACACAGAAATCACCTTCGTACAAATGCAGGAGGTGATTGATGTGGGTTATTTTCTTTTCCTAACATAGTTACGTATGTTGAATGAATACATTTACAATAACAAGGTGATAAAGGTCAGGAAAGGGAAACAGAATTTAAAGTTATTTTAAAATGAGAGCTGTATTAGGTGGTGGAGAAAAAGCATAGATTCTGGAATCTGGGGACATTTAAACCAGAGACAGTGCCTTCGAGATCAAGTCGTGCCAGGGGAAAGACAGAGAACTGTCCTGTAAAGTACTGGGGCTGAAGGAATTAGTGACCTTTTTTTGAAGCAGAAACTCATGAGAGTTATCCCCATGGCTGTCACCGCCCTGACCGGATGTCCTCCTGCTGACACAATCCCGTCCTGCCAGCTGCGTGTCTCCCACTTGGTTAACTCTGGCCCTCAGCTGACCCAGCGCTGGTGCTTTGATCCCGTGACCCACCTTGGACCCTTTGAAATGGATTTTGACTCAGTTCTTTTCTGAACTTGGCTGACTGTGGTCTCTCCATCTCTGTCCTTTAATGGCTGCCCTGACTGGGCCACTGTGATCCTTAGCTACTCTATGCCATTCTGATGAGTATGTTTTTCCTTTCCATCCTTGGTTCCCCTTTATTTCTTTTCTCAACCTTTGCACATTGACTGTAGCCTAAATGGAGTGCTGTTCAAGGTATAAATGCTAATTGCCTCATTAATTTTTTTAAATTCATTTAGTCAATATGCATTTTTAGAAACCAGACATATAGAGTTCAAGTCTCTGCCGGCCAGGAGCCCTCAGTCTAATGAAGAAGGGAAACAAGTAGCAAATAATGATAGCAGAGTGTGAGTAAGTGTTGCGGTGAGATCTATACAAGATGCAGTGGCTGCTTCAGGAGTAAGAGAAGGCGTAATGGATATGGTGGTAGGTGGGCTGACTTTCTCAAAAAGGTACCTTGTTACTGATAGAGGAAAGGCTAACCAAGAAGAAAAAGAGAAGCCTGAGCACATGCTGTTCAGGGAAGGGCACAGAGTGTGGGCTTAACCTGAGGTGTGGGGAAGAAATGGCAGAGAAGAAAAAACAACAGTAATTATGTAAGGTGATGCATATGCTAATTAGTTTGATTGGAATGACCATTTCCCAGTGAACTGAAACATCAGTGGTACACCTTAAATTTATACAGTTTTCATTAGTTAATTGTCTCAGTAAAACTTAACAAAGTCCTTTAGAAAAACCCCATCTCTGGAAGTATAAAGCCCAAATTTTGTAGCTCCCAAGCATGCCTAGCCTACAAGCATATTATTATAAAGAAGTACATGTATATAGTTTATAAATAAATAAAGTACTAATGTATTGGGGATTCTTACTGATTTTTCTTATTGAAGCCAGGATAAAATGTGTTTTAGAACCACTGCTGTAAATCAGAGTGTCTCCATTATCACTAGACATTCAGATCAGCGAGACGCCATCTCCCAGTCGTTCTGCTAGACCCCAACCTACAGAGTTGAAACTGCATAGGTTTTGGGCAACAGGCAATTCATACAACTTGCATAGCCTGCAAGCCCTTTCATGACCTGGTTGCCTGACTTCACATTCTCCCCAGGTCTCTAGAAGCCTCTGAAATTTATCCTAAAGGTTTATTTTTTACTTGGTGCACATATCTTAGGAAAATACAAATGCCTCTGCATCTTATTCTGTCGACATCTCCAGAATGTCTCATGTCTGAGAATGACCACACCGTTCCACCAGGGAGTGGCAGCTCTGGTAACTGCCAGCAGCCATAAGGAGACAGCAGGGTCCTATCCTACATTGCAGGAAGCGCTGTTACTCAGGTTGTCCTGCCTTTTTTTTTGAGTGTTTGGATTCAGGATGTTTCAGAAGTTCTCCCCCCCAGAATTCTTAGACAATAAGGATGGGGAAAGAGATGATGCCTCTTCATAGAGACTCAGTTGATGAAGCCCATTAGTTCTGGCTCTATTACACTGGTTCCCAAACCTAGAAAGTCAACAAAATCTCCAGGAAAGGTAGTTTTGTTTGCTGTTGTTTGTCTTGAAGTGTCCCATGCAGTTATGATGGGGACCCTGACACAAAAACAGTGATTCCTCACCAAAGGCTTTCATTGTGACTGCCTGGTGAGTTGTGTGAATATGCTGTTGCCTGAAACCTGTGGGGTTTCACTTCTACAGGTTGGGGCCTAGCAGACTGAATGGGAGATGGCGCCTTGCTGATCTGGGTGTCTGTTGATGATGGAGACCCTCTGACTTTTACAACAGCTTTCCTCCTGCCTCCTAGCAATGAAAAATATTCCAACAGACATCCCCAACATATGAGTATATTGTTAATTTATAAACTGTATGCATTTATAAACTGTGTCTATGCAATATGTAAAAACAGACATTTAAAAGTAATGAGATTAAAATAAATGCAATGAAGAGGTCTACTATTTTCATCCCATTCCCCCAATGGACCACCAAGCATCTTACTGCATAGACCCCTGATAGAAAGAATGGTTCTTTCTCTAGTTCCCTAATGGGACCACAACTCTTATTTAAGGGTTTACAGTCTCAGGTAACTGTCTAGAAGCAGAATCATCTCCCCCCAACCTAACCAAGCTACTCTTACTCAATTGTTTGCTTCACTCAATTAGTCAACAGACATTTATTGTGTTCCCACTATGTGCACAGTATTGGAGAGGGGCCACATAGTCCTTGACTCAAGGAACTTATATTGTGCCACACATAGACATGAAAAAAGTGAACATAGACATTAAATAAGTGATTAATCATTATGTCATTATAATTTTAATAGGCGCTAAAAAGTGTGTGTGTGTGTGTATAT